CTATATTCTTAGACTATATAGTTAAATTACACGAGTTTCTGCAGGGCATTGTTTCAGATAGAGACCCAATATTTTTAAGTGCTTTTTGGCGTCAACTCATACGTTCAGGTGGCACTGATCTTCATTACTTAACGATATATCATCCACAAAGCGATGGTCAGACCGAGGTAGTCAATCGTTGCCTTGAGCAATATCTTCGAGTTTTTGCTTCCGATCATCTACATCAGTGGCATACATACTTACCTTGCTCGAAGTTAAACTATAATACTACGTATCATACTGCCATAAGGATGACCCCTCATTAGGCATTATATGGTTTTAACCTAAGGTTATTGCCATCTTATATGCTAGGCAAGACCTCAGTAGATGAGGTGGACTCCATGCTGATCGATTAACAAGAAATTCAGAGCGCACTACAAGCTAATCTGACTAGAGGACAAACTTGAATGAAAAAAATATGCTGAATCTAAATAACTTGACAAGAATTTTGAAGTGGACTAATGGGTGTGGGTAAAATTTCACACTTACCATCAATAATCTGCTGCTCGCAGACTCAACTTTAAGCTTTCTAAGCGGTATTTTGGCCCTTTTCGGATCTTGGAACGCATTGGCAAGGTGGCATACCGACTAGATTTGCCATCTAATAGCTGAATTCATCCAGTTTTCCATGTTTCCTTACTGAAGGCTTACTCGTATCCAACTCCTCCTGCTTCCATCATGTGCGATGACCTTTTGGAACACCAGTTACCTACACCACAAGCTATCATTTCTAAATGTCCTAACTCCAGAGGGAAATCAATACCAAGTTTTGGTCGAATGGGCTAACAAGCCACATGAAGAAGCTACATGGAAGTCATGGGATATTCTAGTCAACCTTTATTCCAAGGCAGCCTTTAAGGACAAGGTCTTTTTCCATGGGAGGGGTAATGTTACAACTCACGAAGCTAAAACAACAAAACTAAGGATTAAAAGTGCACCTTCATAGGCCACTAATCATATTATTTAATAGATGATAGAATTCCCTTTAGTTGGTTATGCTATCTTATCTTTAGCTTATCTTATTTTAGATTTATTTATTTACATATATCATTATTAGTTATCTTAAAGACACAAAATTAGGATTCTGTTAGCTTGTGTCTCTATAAATAAGTCTATTATGCAACTTTCCATGGCATGAACAATTTGAATTAATTTAAGAGATTGTCTCTTATAAAGTTTCAGAGCTTGACTCGAATAAAGCTTTAACAAAACCCATTGGATGTAAATGGGTTTACAAGATCAAGAGATTTCTTGATGGAACAGTTAAGTGTTTCAAAGCATGCCTCGTTGCCAAGGGATATGCATAGATTGAAGGGATTGACTATTTTGACACATTTTCTCCGATGGTCAAGATGACTACAATCAGAGTGGTTCTTGCTTTGGCCTCAATCAAGTGATGGTTAGTGCAACAGCTTAATGTCAATAATGCTTTCCTACATAGTGATTTAGATGAAGATGTTTATATGATGCTCCTTCCCAGTATGTCCACTTCACATCTTAACCAATGTTGTAAATTGTTGAAATATTTGTATGGCCTCAAATAGGCTAGTCATAAGAAGTTATTTGTCTACTCTTGTCAAGTGGGTATCAGTAAGCTCACTCTGATCACAGTCTTTTTATCACATTTGTTGGTGAAAATTTTACAGCTCTGATAGTTTATATTAATGATATTGTCCTCACTAGAAATTTCCCCACAGAAATGAACACCATTAAAGGCATTCTTCATTCTAATTTTTGAATTAAGGATCTTAGGATTCTTAAATATTTTCTGGTATTGAAGTAGCATACTCTGAGCAGGGCATTTCTCTATGTCAACGTAAGTATTTGATGAGTCCATATTTTATTGAATATTTACTAGTCTTTTTAGTGTTCTTTAATAGAAAAAGTAAATTTAGAAAGTGTAAATAAGATGAAAATTTTATTTAGGTCAATTATCATAGGTTTCTTAATTTTTGATGAATTTACATGGATTTACATAGATATAATTTGCAATTTTAATCATTTGAATAATTGTGCAAGAATTTCTAAACTTATTCCATGGATTTTTAGCCTTTGAGAAAATTTGAGTTGAAAGTGGCTGTTTTCAGGAGTGAGAATAGACACTACAGCAAGCTAGATCCAGAGGGCAGACCAAAGTGATCACTTTCAGAAGTGATAGTGGACACTACACAGACCCTAGATTGCAATAAGCCTGTGCATAGCTACTTTTAGACCCCATAGTGATAACTACAGCAAGGACCAAACTGCTACAACACTGTGCGTAGCCACTATCACCTGCCATAGTGACAACCCCAAAGAAGAATGACAGGACTGGGAGGTTGGGCGTAGCTACTATCATTTTCATAGTAACTACTATGGACGACGAATACTTCACTATAAATGAATTTTTGGAAATTAGGGTTAAAGAGCTTTTTACACTTTTAGATTTTTACCATTTTGGGAACATTTGCAGAGCTTAAGTCAGCCTTGGGTGACAGCCAAGGACCCGAGCTAGGGTTTAATTCATATTTTCTCTTTACTTTCCTTTGATTTTCACATTCATGTCATTAAATTCTCTTTGTTTTCATCTTGTATTTGTGAGACCTATCCTCATGGAAGGCTAAATCTTTTGTAATCCTTAGTAAGTTTACTTGTATTCTTATTTTCCTAGTAAGGGTGGCAATTAATCCCCAACTGCGGGGATCCCCGCGGGGACTGCCCCGAATTGGGCTCCAAATGTGGGGAATTTCCCTTCGCGGGGACAAGGATGAAAATTCTCCCGCGACTAGTTTGGGGACGGGGACGGGGACTAGTTCACCCACCCTCGTGGGTTTCCCAAATCCCCTAATATATATGAAAATACTTAAATAACCTTATTAAACACTATACTAATAGGGGTAATATAGTAACTTACTTATTTAAAATAAAAACACATATCAAAAACCCTTAGTGAATTTGTTACTCGACGGTTGCAACCTTTGCCTCTCAAAGTCAAGCTCTAAATCTTCATATTCAGGCCGCTGTTGTTTGCATTCTCACCATTGTTGTTCGTGTTTCCAGTTTGCCCCTTCACTCTCTTCTCATTTCATCAGTTCAGGTTGTTTCTTGTTGTTGTTGTTCTGCGTTTTCTTATTCCAACGATACTTTCATAGTCCTTTTGTTTGGTCCCTTGTTATAATAAGAAAAGAGAGGGTATTTATTTATTGAAACAATATACTTACCATGAACATAATTCTAGTATCTCCATAATTTTTAAGTTTAATAAAACCTTTAGTCCGTATGTGAATTGCTGATTTTTATTTGGGTCTTGTACAAAAAGTTTTTAAATTGGTTCCAGTATGTAAAATTTATTTCAATTTAGTGTTTCTGCATTTGTAAACGTATTTATAGTTTGACATACTTATTTTTAGAGTATAATAGAAACTAATTTGACAGGGACTTGTATGATTAAATTTTTGTTCTGATTCATATACATGACATTCATTTTTTATTTGATTCTTATTTTGAAAAGAGATTGATTTGTGATTGAAGGTGTAGGATAAAGCAAAAATAGTTATAGATCGAGAGAGAACTTGCAGTTGTTCTTCATACCTAACACCATTTTTTTTCAATGAAATTATCAGTCCAACATGAAGTATACTTGACACAATTATAAATGTTTTTAACAGGTACTTTGATGTGGAAATAAATAGTGATAACTGATAACCATGTCGCTAAGGTATCAAAAGTAACTAAATTCCTCACAAAAACATGTAGTTTAGGGAGCAACGTAGGTCATCTCTCACAAGGATGCAAATGCACATTGTTTCAATATCAATTATGCAGAAAACGTTTATGTTTGGGGGAGTTTTATGATTAAATGCAGAAGATTAAATTTCAAAGAATCAAAAACAAGGAAGTAAACGCAGGGAATTAAATGCAGAGAATTAAACACAAGGAAATGTAGAGAATTAAACGCAAGTAATCAAATACGATCAATTTGAGAATTCAAACCGAGATCCAAAACACTTAAATCCAAAATCGAGAATGAAAACTGAATTGTTTAAATCTCTTCCGCACAACAAACAATTAATCAATTGCTTGTTACACGATTAAGAACAATGCACAATTCAATCGAACAATGCTTCTATGCAATCGCAAAAGTGTGAGATCAGAAAACAAACTCGGAGCATAAAAAACGTCTTAAACAAATGCGATCTGGACTTTGACAACATAATTGGGGAAGAAACATGGAAGAAATCATCTGGAAATTACAGAACCTAATCGCCTTTCAATTGTAAAATGTAGAGCAATGCAAACTCGAAGTGAAAAATTGCAAGAGAAGAATTGAATGGGTAAAAAATTCAGAGGTTCTATTGGAAGCAGGAAAAGTATTACAAAAACTGAAAAACAAAAAAAAAATGAATTAAAAATGCTTCCAATTCAGCCCCTGGCCTCTATAAATAGTACTCCTAAAAGAGCAAAACTGAATGGGCCAAAGCTGGGCCAAAAATAAATACAACAAAACCGCAAAACAAAAGCTATACAAAAGTCAAACTAAAAGTCTAAACTTCTAAAATTCATAGAAAATAGCTCCGGACTCCAAATAGCACAATCCATATGTCCAAATGGAAGCCCTAGAAGTAAGGAATCCAATGCAAAAAGAATGAGACAAAAAGGATATCTACAGAAAAAGTTATGGCTAAATTAGTAACTAAAGATCAGAATAGAAAGCATGAACAAAAGTATAGTATTTACGAAAATTCCTAATTAACATGATAAATGCAAAAACATATTAAATGGAAGAATTAAGGGAATGAAAAGACATATAAATGATGCAATAAGACTAAAAATGTGGGAACAAAATATGAGCTATCAGTAACTCATCATCTAATAGTATTAGTAATGCTCCACTGGACGTACAACCAATTGTTAATGAAACGCAAGGCACTCAAGTGGAAGATGCACAAGCACTCTAGTGGAAGGTGCACAACAAGCTGAAAATGAGAAAAGAAATTGGAGCAAATTTAGAAAATGAAGATGTTACTGAGAGGACAAGTTCTAATAAAAGAGGACTAACTTCTGAAGCTTGGGCACACTTCAAAAGGGAGAAAATAAACGAAAAATGGAAGGCAATATGCAAACATTGTGATAGACAACTTGGTGGTGACACTAACCAAGGCACAAAGCACTTATATGATCACATTCAAATTTGCAAGCTTTGTACTGTGAGGGGCCCAAGGCAGTCCATATTGAAAACTTTTGAATAATCATCAAGTTCAATTGGAAATAGGGGTCAATCTATTCTAATTGAAAATTACACATTTAATCAAGATGTTGCTCATATGGAGCTTGCAAAGATAGTAGTGTTGCATAAATATCCTCTTTCCATTATTGATCATATGTGGTTTTTGAAGGTTTTGTCGTGCTCTCCAACCTTTGTTTAAAGTGATCACTCGCAATACATGGAAGGTTGATATAATGAAGGTATATGATGCTGAGAGGTCCAAAGTTATGAAATTACTTGAAAAAGCTACAAGTCGCACTGCAATAACTATCGACATGTGGACAACCACTAATCAAAACAAGGGATATATGTCTGTCACAGCTCATTTCATTGACAATGACTGGACTTTACAAAATCGGCTTCTGAGGTACATATTTATTAACTTGTTATTCTTATCTAACTATTGAATACTTTATGATTTAACTGTGAAGAACTTGGTTGTAATGTAAATAATAAATGAATATTTGTTAGGTTTACTTATGTTCCTACTCCACACATTACTGAAGTGCTTGCTGATGTTTTGTGTGATTGTATTTTTGAGTGGAATTTAGAAACAAAGTTATCTACATTAACGGTTGATAATTGTAGCACTAATGTTGCCATGATTGCCTATATTGTTGAGAAGTTAGATCATAGTTCCTTTATTTTGGGTGGAAGTCTCTTTCATACACGTTGTTGTGCTCACATATTAACTTTGATTGTGAAAGATGGAATGTCAACAATACATGGTTCTATTGAGAAGATTAGGGATAGTGCTTCTGTTTGGACTGCAACACCAAAGAGGGAAGAGAAATTTATTGATGCTTGTCGACATAGTGGTGTTCCTTATTCAAAGAAACTGGTAAATGATTGTAGAACTAGATGGAATTCCATGTATTTGATGCTTGTTTTTGCATTGCCATACTATGATGTTTTTAAGCATTTGAAGCCAAGAGAACCTCAATATAAGTCTTTGCCAAGTCTTGATGAGTGGAAAATGACAACTGAAATTTGTAATGCCATGGAAATATTCTATCGTGTCATTGAGTTATTTTCAGGAACACAGTTTCCAACCTCCAATGTTTATTTTCCAAAGGTATGTGAAATTAGGTTGGCTTTGAATCGATGGGTTTTCCCTTTTAATACTACACTTCAAGCTATGGCTGAAACTATGATTCCCAAGTTTGAGAAGTATTGGGACTCTATTAACAGTGTAATAGCAATAAGGGCTGTTTTGAACCCTAGATTTAAAATAAAGTTGTTGAATTATTTTTTTCCTCTTATGTACGGAAGTGAAAGCACCAAAGAATTAGAAAAAGTGAGAACATTATTGGAAGATTTGGTTTCTGAGTACCAAAATAAGGAAAGGAGGCTTAATCACGCGGTTAGTGATATTGTTTGCACTTCAGCTTCCACATTGACGAATTCAGAGAGTAGTTCAAGGAAGAGTGATAGTTTAATTGACTTTTTGCAATATATTCAAGACGCTTCTTCTAATGAATTTGTGAAGTTTGAGTTAGATTACTACTTAAAGGAGCCGGTGTTGCTTAACCAATCAAATGTGGATAAGTTTGACATATTATGTTATTGGAAAAATATTGGAATGAAATATCCAACTTTATAAAGAATTGCTAAGGATTTTTTTGGTATTCCTATCTCAACTGTTGCTTTAGAGTCTACTTTTAGCATTGGTGGACAGTTTTTGGCTCCACATCGTAGTTCATTGAATGAAGACACGGTTGAAGCAATGATGTGTTCTCAAGATTGGATATGTAGTATGATTAAAGGTAATAAATGATACTTTTACTTTCTATATTTTTATATACATTAAATTTGATCTAACAAGTATATATCACTAGTTCCTTTGAAATTGAAGATAGAGTGTTGCACAGTAATGAAAGACAAAGATGTTTCTAATATAGTGGTAAGAAAATTTGATAATGTTAATTTATAAATTTTATTTTTTATTAACGTTAAAATTTACTTGATTTTTGTTTTGTAAGAGAGTGCAACTTGATTGTTTGAAAATTTCACATGCTGATTAGTGGTGCAAATCATAGAAGTCAAGGATGTGAAATATCGTGTTGTTATATTATTTTCATGATAGTGTTGTATTTTTCCTTAATGTTACAATTTATTTATTGTATTGTTATGTTGTATTTGATGATATGAACAATTTACTTTATTTTATTAATTTTTAAATATTGTATAACCTAATATTTAAGTGAAAAAAATTACCTTTAGAAAATAGAAAAAATAACGTTCTTTTAAAAAAATGATAATAGTATGAAATTATAGTTTTTTTTATTTTATTTTTTTAATGTATTTTAGAGGAAATTCGCGGGGATCCATGGGAGAGCAGGGAATGGGAATGGGGGAAAAAAATCTCCCCATAATGGGGATCGGGGACAGGGACGGGGAAGAACATGAGGTGCAGGGACAGGGAGCGAGGGAGTATCCTCCGCCCACACCCCGCGCGAGTGCCACCCCTAATTCTTAGGTTATGAATGTTAATACAATTTCTTTTCTTTCATGAATTCCTTGTTCTCAATCCTTTGAATTGAATTATTGGTTGAATGAGGGAGAAGTTGCTTAATTAACCCTAATTCGTTTTAATGAGATTCTTAACTTGGTTTGCTTAATTCTTAGTTAATTTCTATGATTGCATAATCTTGGAAAAAAGGGTTGGAGTCTATTGAATTTGTTTAAATCCGTATGTAGTTTTAAGGTTGATTCTCACTTGTTGAATTAATCTAATTCAAAGGAAGAGGAAGAGTGTTAAATGTTGATAAGAATAGGGATAGAATCACGTGAATGAACTAAGGATTGCTGCATATTATTGATTAACTTTTACAATTTCATTAATTGCTTTTTACATTGAATTTGGAAATCAAACAAACCCCCTTTTTTACTTGATTTCATAGTGAATGTTTGTAACATGTTTAATGTACATTTTCAACAAAAGTCATCGGAGACAACCAAGGCTTGCATCCTAGACTACACAAAATTTCTGCATACTTTGATAAGGATTGACGACAAATCTTTATGCAATCTAAGCAATCATCAGATTGGTCGTTGCTTTATTTTCTTCTTTTTTTTCTTTTTATTCATTCATCATCATCTTTTTATGGACTTTTTGACAATCATTCTCCTTTTCAAATTCAAACTTTTTTTTGGCATTTATTATTAACATGTATGATGTTCACCACCTTAAACTTAAGATTTTGCTTGTCCTCAAGCAACTACAGTGATAATCACAACCTCAAACTTAAACTTTTGCTTGTCCTTAAGCAAATTAAAACTCAAGAAAGTTGCATGTAAAAAGGTTGGATTTATCCAAAAAAAAATTTCTCAAAATTTTTCATTCCAATATTAGACTCTTATTGGCACTCTCAATATTTCCAAAGTCATGGAATCATTCAACACAAAAATCACACTCATATTAAATATTTTATACAAAGTCCCACTAAACTGAAACAAAAATTCAACAAGGTTTCATGCAATCCACACAATGCAAAGAGATTATCCAGCTCACAAGATGGTGTTTCATTCTTCACTCATCAATGTTTCTGGCTAAGTGTTTCCTCTTAAGTCATGCATTTTGCCTCACTCTACCATATGTTTGCCCATATTTTCAATCTCCTTTGCTTAGATGCAATGAACCACCTATCATGAGGGCTTTGTTGGTCACAAATGGGGTTAAGTTAGCTTTAATTCTGATTAAGGAGGGACAAAAGCTCAAGTGGGTTTTTAAGAGGAGGGAATTCCTTTGAGTGAATGATTACAATAATTAGAATGGAATGCATTAAATGATGTAGCTTAAGAAGTTCAAGTATTCTTTCACCATGTTTTTCATTTACTTGCCTTATGTGGGAATCTTTCCAACTCAATGCCCTTGCTTTATTTATTTATTTATTTATTCTTTTTCATTCATTCATCATCATTTTTTTAATGGACTTTTTGATAATCATTCTCTTCTTCAAATTTAAACTCTTTTTTGACATGTATTATTAACATGTATGATGTTCACAACCCCAAACTTAAACTTTTGCTTGAAGATAAGTAAAAGTTTAAGTTTGGGATTATGATTATCATTATAATTGCTTGAGGACAAGCAAAATCTTAAATTTGGAGTGGTGAACATCATACATGTTAATAATACATGTCAAAAAAAAGTTTGAATTTGAATAAGAGAATGATTGTCAAAAAGTCCATAAAAAATAATGATGAATGAATGGAAAAAATAAATAAAAATAAAGCAAGGGCCTTATATGGGAATCTTTCCAACTCAAAGCCTTTGCTTTATTTTTTTTTTCTTTTTCATTCATTCATCATCATTTTTTATGGAATTTTTGAAAATCATTATCTTCTTTAAATTCAAACTTTTTTTGACATGTATTATTAACATGTATGATGTTCACCACCCCAAACTTAAGATTTTGCTTGTCCTCAAGCAACTACAGTGATAATCAGTATCATAAACTTAGTTTCTTGCATTCACTCTTGATACAACTCAAAAGAAATATCTCTTAAGGTAAGGAAATTATTTTTGCATACTAAGTTTGGCAAAAAAGGAAAATGTGGAATAGGGAAATTAGGTGCAAGGGTGTTCTAGGGTGGGTGGGTGTGTGCAAAGAAGGCCTCAATCATCTAGATAAAAAATTTCACACTGTATATTCAATTAAGAAACTAGGCAAGTTCTAGAAGATAGATGCAGAAATACATGTAAAATGCAAACAGAAAAGAAATTTAAGGTCCAATTCTCTACCATGGTAAAAGTTGATAATTACTTGCAACATGTAAGTACAATTCACCTTACAAGAAAATATGTTCAATATGGTAAGAATGGTAAATTATTTACAAAACAGAGTGTGATTATGAGCTAAATGGAAAGTGCAATTAGAATATGAAATTGGAAGTACAAAACTGAACCAAATTAAAAGAAAAAGGTAATGGAAATGTTTTTGTACTTTTATCTATTACTGTGCAGGGAAATTAGACTAAACACAAATGAAACAGAGGCAGAGAGATCACCCCACCCCTTTTCATAGAAGATGGATTCATAATTTAGTGGCAATTTCATGCTCCTCTTAATGGGACTAAGGGTATTTTCTGCACAATATACACATAATTCAGTATAGAGAGCAAATATGAGAATGAAATGGAAACTAGAATTTCTAAATTCTCAGAAGGGCTGTGTACTTCTATGTTGACATCGCTTTTCATTCTCAGTTGCTTCAGTTTTTATTTAAATAAAGGGTTGCTAAACCAACAAGGTAATCTTTCAATTATGATTATTGAAAATATGGTCTGAAGCAAATTAAATTTTATTTCTAACATTTGTAATACACAAGATTATAATGATTATGATACACATATATAAGAAATTAAATAAATAATCAAAAAACTCAACATGAATCATACATGTGACATAATAGTACATAAAGTTGTAATTGAAAGCAACATAGAAATGAATTAATATTAATTAAAATACTTTCAATCACATAATAATGTGCTTAATTCTTTTATATGTTCCTATCTTTGGTCCCCTGGTAGTTCTTAGCCATAAGACTCCTGGGTAATATTCTACCTAACAGGATTTGTCAGGTTTACTTTCCTTGACGTTCCCACTGACTTATTACCCTTAACTTTTTATCCGGGGCTGGCCCAAGTGATATAGGACTTTCTTATAATTTTCAATCATCTTAAATTTTCATAACTTTCATATTGTATCTCATATATCTCTGTGAAATTTTACAATTTATCCATAATTCTTATAAAATTTGTCTAGCATAACGGATCATATTTGTTTTCCAATAAATAGTGCCAGCTAATAAAAAAACATTCACATATCATAGCAAATAAATAAATAAATAAATAAACAAAACATTTAAATTCATAATTCTTTCCTTAAAGAGATAAAATTTTCCTTGTTTTATTTTTCTACGTTTATTGCTATATGACTTCAATAGACCTGAAATTTTTATATGTTGAATCCCTATTTGTCTATTTTCTAACCTAATTAGTTCCATTTAGTTTTGACAACTACAGCTCAAGATTTTTGCTTTCTACTATGACCTGTCTTGTGATTAGCCAAAACAACACTCAAAAATGTTAAAATCCACAAAAATTCAAATTCTAAGTGTATGACTGCTAAGTTCATGTTATTTTAAAAATTTAAGGAATCATATTTTAATATCCAAAAAGTTTCATTTCATTTGGTTAAATAGAACTCAAGCTATAAGGTTCTAAAGTTGGTTATTATAGGTTGCTCTATTTCTGACTCAACAGCACTAAGGGTTACTTCGGAAAAATTCTGGGAACTGTTCAAATTGAATTAGATTCTGAAATTTTTATGGTATAAACTAATATATCTTAGATTTTTGAAAAATTTTGCTTCAGCTCAATCCAAATTATGTGGAACAAGTTATGTCTTACACAAGCTTACCTGCCCAAAATCAAAATCTGAAACTTAAACCAAACTTCAAAAATTCATAACTAATTCTATACTAATCCAATTGCTTAATAATTTATATATATAGAAAGCTCTGGATGTCTATTTTAAGTTAAATATATTTTCATAATATTTAAATGATAAATAATTGATCAAAATAGTGTATTTGTACTAAAATCCTAGAAAATTCTGTTTATAGACTTGTTGTTTCCTTTCTCTTCTTTGTTTTTCTACTTAATCTACCTTCAAACTCACCCAACCCACCATTACTCTAGCTATACATAATAAAAACACCACATAAATCATGGATTAAGATATTTAATACATAAGCTAGGCAGCCACACATATCCACATAAGCATAACAACAAGGATAGAACCCTACCTCCTTTGAGCACCAATTTGATTTCAAAGATGTTTCTAATTTGCAAGTGTAGGTGAGCTTGAGAGAAAAGTTTATGGAGGTAAGAAAAGGAAAAAGATGGAGAAGAAAATGAGGGAGAGAAGTGATAAATTTATAAAGAGATGAGGGAAAGCAAAATATTCAAGTGGCCATGATGAATGGAGTTACTTGACAAATTTTGATTGGTTCATAAATCTTGTGATCTCAAATGAGCCACAAGGTTGATTATGAGCCATTGGATCAAGGTGTGATGGATGACTTCTCCACCGTTGGATTTAGGGCAAATAATATTATTTTATTCTGGTAATTTAAATTACTGAAACTATACCGATTTCTCTCATAAGAGGAAATTCTACTATAAATTTTTAATTCTAGTTTACCTAATCAACATAGATTTGAATTCTAATAAATATTCAATTAATTTCTTATTAACCTTATTAATGTAAATTAATCGAGAAAATCCATTAATAGCATAAAACAGACACTTAAAATTTTGGAATTACACAAAGCTGTAAAGGAAGCAATGCATGAAAAGAAGTTTTTGTTCACACGCATTCTATAACTATTTAAAACAAAAAAAACATTATTTTAAATCTATAGACCGCATATGATAATAGATCTGAGAATAAAAAAGAAATATTTACTT